TGGGGGGGGGGGTTCGGGAACCTGACCCAGACTCAGGGAATCAGGGAGGGCTTCTTGTAGGAGGTGACAGATGCACCAAGACCTGAAGGATAACAAAAGTTTAAACTGGGGCCGGGCGTTAGCCGGCTAGATAACTGCCCCAGGCCTTGGTTCCCCCATCTGAGAAAGGAGAGCTTGTGAGCGCCCATCTCTGAGTCCTGTCTCTGCCCAGGGCTTAGCTGTTCCTGTCACTGCTCCTGATGAAGGTGCCTTTCTTACCTGACTGGATTTGGGGTGCGTCTCCCTCTTGGTGTGTTTTATTAATAGCATGTTTGTTGGCGGTCGGCCCCGTGAGGACAGGGCCCCGTCCTCCTCAGTGCTGTGTCCCCAGTGCGTCTCCAGCCCAGGCCACGCACCCAGGAGGGCTGGGCAGGTGTTTGTTGACTGACTGACTGACCGACCTTGCTCTTGCTCACAGCCGGGCCATTCTCCAGGAAGTGCTCGATGCAGACCTGAGCAATGAGGCCTTCCCGCTGTTCACTCACAAGCTGGTGAGAGCCGCCGGGCACCTGGTAGGTACCACCTGGCCGCTGTCCCCTGGGCTGTAGTGGGCAGCAGCTGCGAGGGAACAAGCCCGGGGCTTGGGAGTCGTGTGCCCTTGGGCACGTCTGTGGACCTCCCTGGACCCTGGTTCCCTACTGTGAAGTGGGGAACACATGTCCTGCCCACGGGCTGTTAGGGCCTCAGACGAGTAACGGGGGTCAAAGCCGGGTATCACCTGTGCCCCACCTGGTGTCTGGCGCACGCTGAGGGGCGCAGTCCCAAGCTTCTGCCAGGGACTTGCCACCTGCGAAGCCGCCCCCAGTGCCTCCCCCTCAGAGGCAAGGGCACGCCCTCCCAGATCAGGGCATTTGCTGCGCCTCCTTGGAGATGACTGCGCTGGGGACAGCCAAGCAATTACGCTGCTCCGAAGGTCTGCATGCCCTGAGGAGGCGGCCTGTCCTCTGGAGTGTTCCCCCTTCCCAGCCCCCCGCATTGCGGGAGAGGAGAGGGGCCGCTCGGGGAGCACCGCCAGGCCCCGGGGAGCAGCCCCCGCCCGTCCCCAGCTCCGGAAGGCCGGGTCCCAGGACCAGAAGCTTCTGAGACCGTGGACCGTATCAGGGCTGCAGCGGACTCAGTGTCCTCAGAGATCCTGGGGCCGGGGTCCCGGGTCCAGCTCTGGTCAGGCCCTATTCCTGGGCCGTGGTGTCCTTTTTGGAAAATGAGCATCGTGTTCTCCACCCTGACTTTCCGAGGGCAAGGTGAGGAGAAAGCGGTCAAAGTGACCTCAGCAGCTGTCAGCCGAGGGCTCGCGAGGCGCCAGGCACTGTTCAAAGCATGTGACTCACGAGTACTTAATACTTAATGTCCCACTTAATACCCACGACAGCGTGGAAGGTTCCAGCGTGGGCTTCTCAGCCTCAGCACTGTCGATGACGTTTTGGAACAGATATTCTGGCGGGGCAGGGGGCGCATCCCGGGCATCGCAGTGTGTGGAGCAGCGTCCCTGGCCTTCACCCACTTGACGCCAGGAGCACCCCCAGATGTGACAACCAAAAATGTGTCCAGACGTGACCTCGCGTCCCCAGAGGCAGAACTGCCATGGCAGGGGAAGAGGGGGTGGGGCAGGGGAGGAGGTGCTGCTCTGTGATTGCCCTGTTAGCAGGTGTGCAGTCACAGCCAGGTGCATTGAACGAGGTCTTACAGCAGCTCCCGATGTAGGAAATGTTACCCCCAGGATGGCTGTTTCCCTGAATTGAGCTCAGAGAAGTTGGATGGACTGCCCAGGCCCCCACAGCTAATGAAACATAAAAAGTGCATGAATATGTGTCAGTAACACGGAGGTGGCCTTAAGGAGGGGGTGGGTGGACAGACAGCCGGACTCAGGGGCACTTCCACCTCTTCTGCTTCCTTCATGTTCATCTGGGGGGTTTGTGGGGGAAAGTGCTAAGGGATGTTTGTGATCCTGGCCTGCAGAGGGGCTGGAGGTCAGAGGAATCTGGGTCCCGTTAGCAAGTAAACAATGTTTCAATGACATCAGAAAGGAGGCTGCCAGGAGAAACCAGATAAAAGCAGCTCTGCAGAGCCGAGGAGCGCTGGCCCGGCTCTGGTCTGCCTTCCCTCTCTGGAGGCTGTGCTGGGGGGCAGGAAACTGGGGATGTCTCTGTCTAGCTTGCTTCCTGCCTGCTTGGTACAAAGCTGCCTGCCGGGACCAGAGAGGGCGTGCGTTTTCAGAGAATGGCACAGCTCCACCCCAGGCCACAGTGGCCTCTGGCCTGCCCCGACTGCAGCTCTGGCCCTCTCGGCCCCCATGGGGTCCGTGCAGCGCCCAGCCCTGTCTGGGGCGGCGTTCTGACTTGTGAAGTGGGAGGGGGAGCTGGGAGCTTGGCGTTGGCTCAGCCTGCGTGTGGTTCCGGGGTTTGTGTGGGAGAAGACCAGGTGGGAGGGCTTCCCCTGCCAGCCAGGGGTCGCTCCAGCGAGGCACCTGGGCCTTAGCCTTGGACAATGGGCTGCAATGGGGGCTGGCCCTTCCCGGCCCTGGCTGCCGCCCCAGGCCTGGCCCACAGCCGTCTGGCTGCACCTTGGCCTCCAGGAGCCGGGCTGGGCCAGGGCTCTGGCCAGTGGAAGCAGAAGCCAGACTCCAGGATGAACTCCTGCATGGGGTAACAGGCACAGGTCGGGGGCCAGGGGGTGGGATACATGGGGTGCAGGACATACACAGGCTGCTTCTCTCCACCGCCTCCTCTGGAGCCGGCTTTACTGGTTTAGTCAAAAGCACCCTACTGCTCGTTTCTCTGTTTCCAGCCACAGCACACAGTGTGCAGGGCCTGGGTGCAGACCTCACCACTGACGTGACCCCTCTGGGCATGACCCTGGACCTCTCTGAGACTTCCCTTTCTCACCTGCCACAGAGTCTGGCTGAAAAGTTGATGGGCTGTTTCACTATAAATAGGGAATATTAGTAAAATAAGAACAAACGAAAACCCCTCTAATTCCACCAGAGAGAATGCCAAGGCTGACAGTATACTGCCTTCCCACTTCTCTCCCTAATCGCCGCCTGTAAATTTTAAAACAGAAGCAAGGTCACCCCATGTACATAGTTTGCACGTCAGCTTCGTTCTCTGGCCGTTTGTTACTAAGTTGCTGTTGATAGTTTTCCTGTTCCTTGAAATACTGCCTGAGAACCACTCTGAACGTCGTGTCATCCTCTGCGCTAAGCAGGACATTTGGTTGGGCTGTTTTTTCTCCTTGGAATAACCCTGTGATGGGCTTCCCTCGATGGTGGGCCTTTTATGACTCTGATTATTGACCTAGGACACGTGCCTCAGAACCAGAACCCAGAGACAGAGGCGTCCCAGGGACATGGTCCCAGCCTTCCTGGCCGTTCAGCAGTCATTTGGTATTTTCTGTCCCCTAGGCCTTCGGGGCAGGGTCGGGGAGAAACACAGAGCTTTCCGAGGCCAGTCGCTACCTGAGGGATTTGGCCCATCGGCTCACATATGGCCAACCTGGATGGCCAGCTGAGTTCTAGCATCCCTTCTAAACTGAAGGCTCTATCCCAGTGCTGAGCTCCCCAACACTCTCCCTAGAATTAATTCTGGACATGTTGGCTAGGAGCCTGCCAGATCAGGGCTCTGGGCTGGAAGACACGGGCCTAGCTCTCCACAGGCTCACAGCCTAGTTGAGGTTGGGGGACGGGAAGGACGCTGCAGCCCTAGCCCAGCCTGCGTTGGAGCGAGGGCCTGGGTGGTGAGAGGAGCCGCCACTGCTCCGCAGCTGGCGTGGGGGTGAAGAGGATCCCAGGAAGACGTTCGCAGGGGGAGTCCAGCCCTGCCTGGCGACCGCGCCTTCTCCTGAGGGCCCCGAAGGCTAGGCTCTGGCTCCTTTGCGTCAGTGTTATGGTTTTTGCTGACCTCACAGTGACCCAAGCCACAAGTTCCCAGACGGTCCAAGCCAGGGGCACAAAGGCCTTCCCATCCGCTGGCCGGCAAGAGGGATGGGGAAGTCAGCTGCCAGCAGGACTTGGGCCATGGGACCTGGGGCTGGCCACCGCCCTGGCCCCCACCCGAGGTGGCCTCACAGGCAGGCGGGGAGGCGGGAACCGGGTCAGCCCGGGATCCGGGGGTCCGGGAGCGCCATCACCTCAGTGCCCAGCAGAGCTGGGGGCCAGCAGGCCTGGCTTCTGGTCCTGCCCTGGCCTCTGTGGGACCACCTCTCTGGGTCTCAGTTTCCCCATCTGTAGCACAAAGTTTAGACAATGACCAAAATCTTTTCTGGCCCGTCCTGTAAGTCTGTCCAGATATCCTGCATGCTCTCTGGATCCAGGGGGAATTTCACATGCTCCTAAATAATATCATCATGTGTTGACACCAGTTCCATCAATGTTGCCGATGCTGGGCCCGGAGCTCGGGGCCAAGTCTTTATGGGAGATAATTGGATGCCAGCCAACCAGATGCAGGAGAGGAATATGTGTGTCTGAGTCATCGGGAAGGCCTCCGGGTCACGAGGGAAACGCGGAATGATGAGGGTCAGAGCCCAGAACCACAGATCCTGCCCGAGGGTGGGTGAGCAGGGCCCCGCCGCCGCCCACAGTGACCCACGCTCACGACTAACGCATGGGTGGGCGGCCGTGGCTGAGCAGTGCCTCCAGCCGAGCAGTGCCGTTGTTTTGCAATAATTCTACGATGCTTGGACCAGCCCCAGGCTTGCAAGACCCTTGCATTCCTAGAGGAAGAACAGAGGGCGGGAGTTGTCCCCTTGGCAGCCAGCTGACCGGATGTCCTCAAGGCCAGGGAGGCTCCCAGTGAAAGCCTGCTCCTGGCCTGGTTCCCAGGGGAGGCGCGGTGTCTCCCTGACTCAGCCAAGCACGGGGACCCCTTCTGAAAGCGTAAGGTGCTGGGCTAGAAGCTCATCTTTAGGCAAAAGGTGATAAAGCGATTTTTTCCGGAAAATTAATTGCAGGTCAAAAGGAAATTGAATTTCTTTTCCTGACTGTGTGTGTCCTTGCTGTGGCACCATTCAGATTCAATTAGTCTGGGATGGAACATTCTCCCACCCCGACGCGTTGTACGGACAGAGGCGGGATGCCCACACCTTCACGGAGCCTGTGTTTGCCAACTGGGTTTTAGCCGTCGCCTAAAAAGTCGCTTTGCACAACTTGTGCAAATTCACCTCTGTCCTAGAGAGCCGGGGGTGGTGTGTAGCTGAGAGACATGGTGGCCGAGGCCACTATTCAGCGGTGTCCCGTGGCGGGCAGTGACAGCTTCTTGCCGTGAAAGTATAAGGACAAGGTGTGGCTGGAATGAGGTTGAGTGGCTTAGAGGGACTCCCGGGAGTGTGCTTCAGAGATTCTGGAAGCTCCTCCAGGGCAGAACCCCGTCCTTTCTCCGCAAGGATGTCCTGATCGTGCGGCCCCTGCCGTTGTCTGTAGGTGCAGATGGGGCCTTTTGGGGGGAGGGCCATAGCGTTTACCACCTGCTTGGAATCTGTGGCTCTTTTTTTGATCCTCTGAGACAGCCAAGTTTGTGAAGTG